GTTTATAAAGTAACTCATGATCCAAAAAAGGGTGTCTCCGAATTTTGAAATTTAATTTCTTTCCAAAGTTATGACGCGTTTTACTCTAAACAACACTCCAAAAGCGATTGCTGAACTTTGATCAAAAATAGCGAGAGATAGAAAACAGATATCAAAAATCTGGGACACCCTTTTTGAGCTTATTATCTCCTGAGTATGTTAAGMCATTTTTCGCAAACATAGCTTAAAATGTACGTGTCCGTTAACGTTTTCACTGAGGCATGGTCAAATTTCGCTTCGAGGGCAATAATGTGAACAACAATAAAAAAAATCGTATTTTGAAAATTTCTTCATAAAGTATATTTACTCAGCTTTCAGAAAATGTATACTTTGTTTGTGTTATACTATGAAGCCAGCGCGTTATTTAAGTTTGCGCGCATAGTGGTCGTAAACGTATCCTAATACCTTAATGCAGTTCCCTATTGTAAATCACTAATGTGACATAGGTTTACTGTCGAAATATAATATATATCAATACTAGTTTTTTCTTCGTTTCGCACATCTAACTGGGTAGGGAGTTTTGGTCCTACATAAAGGCATTGTAGAATCGAAAAAAAGGACGCTGTTCCTTTTTTTTTTCTTTTTCCTTTTTGTTTGTGCTCAAGAGTCTTTACTCGTAATTTCTTTTTCTAGCAGTTTTTTTACAATAGGAATAAATTTTCAGCTAGACTGATGTGTGAAGAGAGATATAACCAGCACCTAATCGTGAGAGGATAGTGAGCCGTTTCGCTCGAAAAACTCCTCAAAATTAATTATTCCATCTTTACCATATGAGATAGGTTAGTAACACGTGGTTAAGGTATATACGTAGTTCAGACATTTCGTAAAGGAAGTAGCTGACGATATGAAGTTCCCAAATAAATCAAATGTAACTTACCAGACTGATGAGTCAGATCTTAACTTCTTTAAACAAGCTGTTGAATAGTGAATGAAAATACCGTGCGTCGCTTAAAAATCATTTTTCTGGCAAAGTCTTCTAAACATTTTTATAATTACGTCAATCGCACCCCAGTGGTGGGACAGCATACATAGGGGGTTTAGTGGTAGTTACATAGCATCGTTCTCGCAACTGCATTTTCTTATTATGTATTTAAATTCAAATTCACTGGTTTCTCGACCAAGCTTGAAAATAGCCAATTGGTTGGCCTCCTTGCCAGTTGTGATTCTCAAAATAGTCTTTATGCATAGACACTGAAAATAAACAGAAAAAACCTTGAAATAATGTGTTGTGGCCAGCTTTTCAAAGGTCTTAGTATGGTTTTAGCTATTCCTTCACTTAAATAAACAACAGTGCTGTGGTCAGTTTAAAGTTAGTCATATCCAAAAAAGATAATTTTTCAACAAAGTTCTTCACAAATAACATTAATATTTCATCAATATCAAAGATACTAATAATAGCCTTATTCAACAACGATTCCCGGAATTAGCTGATTGATGCCGGACCATTGTAAGTAGAGTTTTAAGCTGGTTCTCTCCTGTGCTTCGGTACACTTTTATCCGGGTTTTGTTTTCCTCCCTCCAACAAAAAAATCAACTTCTAAATTCTAATTTGATCATAAGAGTTGGCTATCCTCGTAAAACTAGGAGGAAGTCTTTTTAAATAAGTTACAACTTTGAACTCATCATTCTGGTATAGTCCTCCGTTTGGCTCCTAGTTGTAACCTCGTAGTTCTATCTTGGCCTGCAAGGTTGCATTTTTGGAGAAGTTTCATTTTCAAGAAGTAAACATTTTAAAATTTAAAAATAGGTTCGGTTATTCTCAGCAAGAGTCCGCATCATATCATAATATACCTTCTTACATGTCGAGTATTAGGTTTGCAGAAAATAACCCTTTGAATTACATTCATATTGCATTCAATAAACTAGTTCTGCAGATCACAAGTGGTATTTTATTCGAGAAATTCCCCTAAATCTACTGACAAAATATTGAAAACAGAATAGCATCATCAGCACAAATTAGAGGCGCAACTGCGCAGCGGTTACAATTCAATAATAAGAATTTCGATTCTAGAAATGGAACAGGCTGAGACTTATAACCATTAAAACATAACACTAATGAATCGAACGTTGTGTGTCTACCCAGACGAAGGATTACTCAGACAAGAGATGAACTTTGGTAAACAAAATCTAATGAGTTCTAGAAAATAATGTAGAATTTGCATTTTGTCCATTTTCCCGCACGTGTTCTGTAAAACTTCGAGTACAATATTTCGAGATTCTAATCAAGAATCTACAATAAATTTCTATGTAGGCAATCTAGCTATTGATATAGTGAGTTATGGTATTAAACTTTCAGACATTGCCAGTGTAATATGGATAACAATGAATAAACTGTCCAGCAATCTCCTATCCCTAGCGTTATATATGTTGCTAAAAGCGGTCTTTCCMGTTTTCTTTTATCCCATCAGATTTCCAAAGCAATATGCTTGAGATTTCGTAGATTTTAAAAGGCTTACTACTTAGCAAAGTTTTCAGATATTGCAATAAGTGTTCAGGCTTTTTCACCACAGTCCACGAGGCTTTTCCAAATATCTATTAGACCGTTGACTCGTTCCAGAGCCGGAGATCCATCCCTTCAAAAATATTTTTTGCCTTTCCAATGACTCAGCCGATTCTTTTAGAACTTTTACATTTAGGTTTTGTGGTTTTGTGTCGAGGCTTCGGTTGTATATATCCTGTAGAACATTAAGAGCTTCTTCAAAATCTTCCTCCTTCAACTGTAGCGTGGCTTTGAGGTCTTCCCAATAAAATAAAATCCCTATCGTCTCCTTCAAACCGAAAGCTACCAATCACCAGTTTTCGCCAGTGACAGCTGTAACAAACGATTTCCAAGAATTTCACAAAAGGCGACGTCAATCTCGTTGACAATGACAGTGACAATTTTATTTTGCACCCTTAATTACATATAATATACCTAATGATATACTTAAATACTATAATAATACAAAACGTTATAACCTTAAATTAGGTACCAGCAAACTGGCACAATATACAAAACAAAACATTACATATATACATATGCATATACATGCATAACCAGCCATCTGCAACGCAGCCGGCCGTATAAAATACAAGTATAAACATATCTAATATACTTATAACATATACAAGCAAAAAATAGATGAATTTATAAATAGATAATACTATACAATAGGATGAAAAAAGAAATTATGATGGATTTAATTACGTTTGATTATTGAAGATGTTTTTGTATGAGAAGATGAGAAGATGATTGCTTCTTTTAAATGTTTTTTAAACTGTGAAATGCTGGATGCCATTTTAATTTTTTCATCAGCAGAATTCCACGCTCTAGCACCAGCAAATCTTATATTGATTGATGACAACCTCGTTGACCAGCAGGGGGGAATTTTGCGAACGCTGGCCAAAAAACTCGCGGGCTTCCACATAAAAGCGCAAATTTGTTTGCTTTTCGAAGGATTGTAGTGAAAAGTGATTTTATTCAGATATTTTCCGTAGAAAACTTGCAGGAAATGGAGGATATTCGCTGAAATTAAATGTGAGGCATTAGTTCTACCCTATAAAAGGTACAAAAGGACTTTTTTCTCGCTGTAAGATTTGTTTTTAAACTTCGATCATTTCACTGGTGGCTTTGATGGAGCCTTAGCAGCACATGATCTTGGCCGTCAAACAACATCTAAAAAACGAAATCAAAACATTTTTGAAGGATTTCTTGAATTACATACTGATCAAGTACATCTAGCCTACCAAATGTCTTCGACGATGAAAAAAATCACGACGATGTTTAGATGTCCCAACGCTTATCAATGCATTTTACCTGGTCATGGAGACTAAGTTTGGCTAAGCCTTGAAAAACTCGAAGTTTGGTCACTTTAAAAGAAGATGAAAGGTTAGTAACTGCATTGTATTAGCAAATGATGCTTTGATGTTCTTCAATGAATACATTTTGTTTGACATGTTTAAACAATTGTGTGAAAAAATTCATCAGAAAGATTCTAATCCTCGATTTTTTGACTCATTTAAGAAATTTTTTGAGAGCAGTGTAGCTCAAAATCTAACCGAACCTTCCAAAAAATTTCTTTCAATTTATTTTTCTTTACGTATTCAACCATTCATTTAACATAATTATAACATCGGAAAAATTCAAAAAACTTCCGATTTACGAGAGGTTGAGAGAACCTATATTTCTTTGTGCCCAGTTTTAATCATATATGAAAATTACCTTTGAGGTCCTGTCCTTCGACCTCCATTAAACAATTCTTTATAAAGTTAATTTGTGTAGCTTGTTTTTTTCACGAAACATTTGTTATCATTGCAGTGATTTAGAGCTTCGAAAGAGAAGCAATAAACCTTTCGATGTTTACTCGAAATCTAGCAGAACTCTCCAAAATAAAATTCACGTCAATAGAGCCTTTATTCACTGGGGAACCAAAATATTCTGAAATAAACTTTCTAAAAATTCGAAAAGCTACATTTTAGCTGATTGAAAACGCGTGACGAGAAACAATCTATATAGGCCGTCGTACCTAAATCCGAAACAACTTTTTACGTATTCCAGGTATAAAGGAAAAACACTTCTGGTAGAATTTATTTTTTCTTAATATTGACGTTTACAGACAATGCATTCTTTTTCTCTGAGAATTTTCTTGTACATGAAACAGCAGATGGTAGAAAAAGGGAGATATCTGTCAATGTTCCAAGAAAGCCTTCTGAGATGAATCCCCAGGCCACACCCCAAGTGGATACTTGTAATTAGAAATGAGAAGATCTCGTCTCCAGAGCCCACGTTCGTCTTGGTCAGCACCGAGAAACGAAAGTTTTTCTCAGTGTTGACCAAGCCAGAGGAACGTGGGCTTTGGTTACGAGTTTGGAAATGTTATAGCAGTTCCGCTTCGGCTTATTGATGACAAATATCGAAGTACGTTTACTGCTCTTAATTTAAGAAATTGTTTTATTTCTCTCTGCCAGCAGGGCCGCTGGAGGTCCTGAAGATGGTCCTGAAGGCGGTACAATGAATTCGTCTACCGCAGAACAAAGTCAAGACACCTATGCCAGCAGGGCCACTGGAGGTCCTGAAGATGATCCTGAAGGCGGTACAATGAATTTGTCTACCGCAGAACAAAGTCAAGACACCTATGCCAGCAGGGCCACTGGAGGTCCTGAAGATGATCCTGAAGGCGGCACAATGAATTTGTCTACCGCAGAACAAAGCCAAGACACCTATGCCAGCAGGGTCGCTGGAGGTCCTGAAGATGATCCTGAAGGCGGTTCAATGAATTTGTCTACCGCAGAACAAAAAAAACTTATAAAAACGCCATTTTTTAAAGCATTTTCCCAGGACGTACTTGCACATGTTTCTCTCCATGGTTTTGCCAATTTGTATAAGAATGAGCACACTATCATCTCGATCTTTGCTTGCTTTTATTTCTTGCAGTTGTTTGGCCAACTCTTTATTCTCATCTTCCAGGTCTTGTATTTTCTTTTTTAAAGCTTTGATCTCATCTTCATGTTTTTTTTCTTTCCTGAGACATACCCTCAACTGTTCCT